TCCACCTATCTATTTACCTATCTATCTATCTATCTACCTATCTATCTATCTATTTCACTTCTGTAAGTGTAACATTTCTCGTAATAGTTTTTATTTGTTGAAACAAAAAAAAAACAAGATAAGTGGTATATCATTGATTATCGATTAATCTCACCTTTATTATTACGATTATTAATTATTAATTACCATTGTAACGTGTAACACACTATGCTCAATAAAAACTTTTCTATAATTCGAAATGGATGGAACAGTGCTAATGTGGTCCGTGAATATAATAATATTAATGATAATGATAATTGTGTAATAAAAATTTCGTACGCTGCAAACTTTCTGCTCTTTTTTTTTCTCTCTGTTCTGTTCTTTTTTACAGTGTTTACCTTGTGTGTGTGTAAATACTTACACGTGTGATTAAGGAGCAACGAAACATGATCTCTACCAGGAAAAGATGATTACAGGGGTTAGCTAACAATAGCCCGTAACGACACGAAGTGTGTCATATTTGCATTGAGTTTCTTATTTCGATATTATAAGTGCGCGCATTTGTGCCGTCTGGCGATCAAGATGATGGACGAAATATCATCGATGGACAGACTGCGGCTATCTATAGCCACGTTCTTTTCATTTTATTAATAGCCGAACAATCTGATCAGCTTATGGTGTTGCCGTTAACTATGAGGTGATGGTCTCTACTGTGCTGGTAATCTAGCTTTGAATTTCTACTGAAATCATTAAATTCGTGGAAAAAGGAAGGAGCAATTATGATGCAGTGAACAAAAAGCTACAGGTGGAACACTTGAAAATTAAAAAAAAAAGAGCCAAAGGCAAAGAAATTAAAGATATTTTTAGCAACAAAATTTTAATAAAATCCGAAGACACGGATACAGTGGTTGTTGCTTAGAAATGCATTTGTCTGTTTAAATCCTCTTTTATAGTAATAAATATTCTGATGATTTTCACGTGAAGGAGGCAGACCATACAGGGATTACAAGTGGAAATATTTATTATAAATCAAAACTTACAATATTATTTAAATAACAGTACTTGCACCTGAGAGCTACAAATACCTTAAAAAATGTTTGGTTGTTACAGAATAAAGCGACTACTACCAGCGATAAGTGAACGCTACATCTTACACTAATACTGTATCACAATCTATTTCTCAACTGTGAAACTGATTGGTGGCGTTGATCTACACCTCCATTTAAAACTCATTCGAGACAAAAGTTTCTTAAAAAGACAAAAGATAAGAAAAATAATCCTTTCCATGCCAAAAACAACTACTAAAGTATCTACTAAACGATAAAAGCCTAAGACAAAGCGATTAAAAATTACAGGTGTTTTTTTGCTGTTTCTTCAAAGCTGACAGTGCATCCACTTGACATTTCACATAAATATTTTAAAAAAAAGAGAAAACAGATTAAAATCGATGGGTAATGCAAGTTTACACGAAGAAACTATCTTACAATTGAATTGCACGCGATATATTCACTTAAAAAATATTGTTAAAACCCAGCTGCTGGAGAAATTATTACTTGTATGCTTTCTACTTCGTGCTGCTAACTAAAATGTAGAGAAGCGAACAGAATTCTCCACTAAGGATGATTAAAGGAAAAAAAACCCAAAGCAAAATAATAAAAATTGGTAATTCTAGGCCTTCAAGCTCTCAGGCACAGAATATGCGTGTATCAATAAATGCATGTTTTTTTCTTCTTCGGGGTAATGAGAGCACACATGAAAATCAAATGAAAACATGTCTTACAACAAGTATGATCAAAGGAACCGATAGAGAGAAAACAATCGTTTAAAAAACGTAGCTAAGAACAATCACCGATGAACCGAACATCGTAATTCGACGAAAGAAAAAAAAAAGTAAAATCTTAACTCGCGATAAAAAAAATTGCATGAAAACAACGAATTATCATCGTCACTACGACTGTAAATGATTGCTATACACTCGTGGTGTAATTGTAAATCTTTTGAACTAGGCCAGTCCAATATGACTCACGTTACAAAGACTCTTTTAATTTTTACAATGAAGCAAATTTTTTTTCTCTTCTGTTTCTGCAAAAAATTGTTGTTTAACTCTTTCGTAATTAATCAACGTACGCATGCGAATAGAGCTTAAAAATTGTTCAAACAAACAAGCGATCATTTTGCAAAAATTGTTCAATATTCTTCTCGATTTCCATTTAATTTCTTACGTTACTCTGACGCAACGATTATCATAATTATATAGTAGTTAATAATTAATCATTGGCTTCCTCGTATTATTATTTCGTTCGTTGTTATCAAGCATTAATGAAGAATACTTCATGCTGGATTACACTCTCTACTTTCAATAGTACTTCTAAGCATAGTTACAGTTGTATTCCGTTGACAACTATGTTACAGAAGCAACCATAATCACTGTACAAATAGGATTAATTATTAAATATTCGCAACAACGATTTCCATACTTGTTCGTGTAGTTCTATTCACCGAATAGTAGTTATAAAGCAAACCGTAATCACCATAGTGACTATATGCGCAACAGACGGTATAGCAATCAGTCATTACAGCAACTGGTTTTATGATGAAAGAGTTAAAATGTATGCGTGTTCCACGGGGCGAAAATTCGAAGTAATATAGCGACATGTCGTTTAAGAAACAAAAACAAAATGAGGTCCTTCATTCGAGGAAAAAGAAATTCTTATAAATCTACGGAAGGACTCGACTAATTCAAAACGATCATCATTCGTCGTAGCTGCTGAACGATCAAACGATCTCTCAGACTCAGTTTTTTTTTTTTTTTAATTCACAGCCGGTTACAATTATAATATGATCCTTGGCATCGGAAAGCATACGAGATGTTACAAATCGCGAACAGTGTGAATCGAATAAAAAAAATGAATAAAATTTCCTCTATCTTTTTCTCACCTCCTACTCCCCTCTCCTTCGAAATAATTTAAATTATCGCGATCCCTATAATACAACACAATTAATATCCGTCATGCTTGCACTAAACGTCGTTCGGAAAACGGATCGAACGCACAGAGACAATAAATTAAATATCAGCGGATACATAAGTATATAATTAATAAGTATTTAACGTGTACGATTATAAATAGGACAGAGAAATCATAAAAAGTCGCCGGGCAGATTGGCTTTTTCCGCTACTGTTTAAACGCGTTATCTTCAACGATGATTAAACTCTCAAGACCGAAACAAAAGGGAGAGCATACAGTTCTCTCTCGTTC